TGTCAGGTCAGTCCTTGTATCAAAGTCTTCCCTGCGCTATTCAGCACCTCTTGTATGTATGAGAATGCACATTGTCTGTCGAGATTCTACTCGCATTGCATTGTCCATTCTGTCATTTTCATCACATTGCAGATCCTCGGTTATTACGTACATGGCATATCTGTGCATGTAACAGTTGGTATCGGAGCTTCTGCACGTGAATGAGGACACCCTGATCTGACACGTGTGCGCGGACCAAAAAGCTAGTTAGTCTTTATTGGTTGATTAGGACATACTAGTTAGACCCCAAAATCACGATCTTGACCTGACTACCGAAAATCGAAATTTTTTTATTTTCTTGGACTTTATTTTCTCGCTATTCTGTTGTGGAAAATCGCAAAATCGCAACATCTGAAATTCCCATTTTCGTTTTTCTTCTGAAAATTCAAAATTTCGCTGTTGAAAATCCGGAATATTTTTCTTTTCAAAAATTTTGATTTCCTGTTGCATTTTCCGTTACTTAGAAATTCGGAATATTTTCTTTTTTGAAATTCGTTTTCTGAAAACGGTACGAGAAATACCTCCTGCAGTATTATTTTCCAAACTGCAAATATTCTCATCGGAATAAATTCGAATATTTGTCATTTCGGTTCGGAATTTTTTTCGCAATTCTGGGATTTTGTCGTTTAGTTCTATAAATCATTGGCAGTCTAAAGTCGAAATTTTTCTTTCGGTGATCATTTCGCACTTCAAGGGAGGTTGGGAGACCTACCGAACTTGCAAAAATCGGGATTTTTTATTTTTCTCGCTCGTTCCTACGTTGGGTACTCAAGCTCAAGGACAAGGAGTGTGTGCGGTTTCTTATCCGTCCGGCAACGGCGACATATCGTCTTCAAGTGGTTCTTCACGGGATTTGGCGCGCGAGTTCAACATAGAGGTATTGGACCCGCTCACGTTCGAGGACTTTGCATGGCTTCCTCTCTCGACCACAGGCCGCTTGTCGGGACCGCAATGCGCAACACTTAGCGCTCATCTCCACACTTACTTATCCTTCTATGCACCACCAACTTCGCCAGGTGGGGGACATCCTTGCGTATACTACCAAGGTGGCCCGCGAGTTTCGCACGCAGCGGTACGATGACAACAACGCACCGCTCATGTATGTCCGCATTCAGGTTGGGCAAGCGTCCTGCAGCGCTTTGCCGGATAGCGGCGCGTTTCGCAACTTCATGAGCCAATCCTTTATGCAAATGGCTGGCCTTGGCGCACAAGTTCGAAGGAAGGCAAACCCGACAGCGATGAAGTTGGCGGATGGAAAGACGCAACAACTTCTCGACCGTTACATCGAGGTCGTACCGGTCTACTTCGCACCTCATGCATGCAAACCGGTGACCGTATTCTGGGAATGCCTTGGCTTGCAAGTGCGGATCACACGGTCAACTTCCATCGGCGGACTCTTAGCGTTCGCGACGCCTTCGGCGAGGAAGCGGCGTGTACTATTCCTCTACTGCACACTTCGGTCCGGTGCCAAGTGGTGACGGCCAAATCATTCCGGGCGACTTGCGCTTACGAGCAGCCCGAGGAGATCGGCCTATGTTTCCTACGGACCGTCGCGGTAGCGGACTCTTCACCCACGGACTTGTCTTCGGACCCCCGTGTGGTGCGGTTGCTGGACGAGTTCGCCGACATCTTCGAGTCACCTACCGGTGTGGTGCCAGATCGGCCGATCTCTCACGAGATCATTGTTGAGGCCGGTGCCGTGCCGCCGAAGGGTTGCATCTATCGGATGAGCGAGGAGGAACTTGAGGTCCTCCACGCACAACTTGATGATTTGCTGGCCAGGGGCTGGATCCGCCCTAGCAGCTCCCCATATGGAGCACCAGTTCTCTTCGTCAGGAAGAAGAACAAGGATCTACGATTGTGTATCGATTACCGCAAGCTCAACGTGCAAACCGTCAAGAATGTGGGGCCTCTTCCTCGCATCGACGATCTTCTTGAGCGACTGGGCGGCGCGAAGTATTTTTCCAAGTTGGATTTGAAATCGGGATATCATCAAATCTCGATCCAGCCGAACGATCGCTACAAGACCGCATTCAAGACGCGGTACGGGCATTTTGAGTGGGTGGTCATGCCATTTGGCCTCACCAACGCCCCTGCGACCTTTCAGGCGGCCATGACCAATGAGTTCCGTGCAATGTTGGACCGGTTTGTGCTGGTCTACTTAGACGATATTCTCGTTTATAATCGGTCATTGGAGGATCATCTGGGGCATCTTCGACGACTGTTGGAGACGCTCCGCCGCGCCAAGTACAAGGCCAACCGCGATAAGTGTGAATTTGTCCAGCATGAGTTGGAATACTTGGGCCATTTTGTCACACCAGAGGGCATCATTCCGCTATCGGACAAGATTCATGCCGTCCAGGAGTGGCAGAGCCTCGGAATGTCACGGATGTCCGCTCGTTCCTCGGTCTTACCGGCTACTATCAGCGCTTCATCAAAGGCTACTCCAAGATCGCGGCCCACTTGAACAAGCTTAAGTGTGAGGATCGGTCGTTTGACTTCGGAGAGGAGGCGCGAGGATCATTCTTCGCTCTCAAAGCCGCGCTATTGTCTGCGGAGGTCTTGCGGATATACGACCCGCTTGCGCCTACGCGCGTCACTACGGATCCGTCAGGCTATGGCATTGGTGCAGTCCTCGAGCAACATGATGGTGTGGACTGGCACCCGGTCGAGTACTTCAGCAAGAAAGTGCCCCTCGTGCATTCCATTAACGATGCACGCAAGGAGCTCCTCGCCTTCGTCCACGCGCTCAAGCGGTGGCGGCATTTCCTCCTTGGTCGAAGCCAATTTCGATGGGTAACGGACAACAATCCGTTGGTCTTCTACAAGACCCAAGACACCGTCAACAGCACCATCGCTCGATGGATGGATTTCATCGACCAGTTCGACTTCTTTCCCGCTCACATTCCCGGGAAGTCGAACCGCTGTGCGGATGCTCTCTTACGGCGTCCGGATCATTGTATCGCGGTCTTCTCGACTTTCGAGATTGACGACGACCTGCGGAACAGCTTCATCCACGGCTACCAAGCCGACCTCGAGTTTCGTGACAAGTACGCGAATTGCTCCTCTCCTAATCCGGCTCCGTCTCACTACCGGATCCAAGAGGGGTACTTGCTTGTCCACACGTGGGGGAAGGACCTCCTTTGCGTACCGAGTGATCCTCACTTGCGTACACGGCTTCTTGGCGAGTTCCACGACGCTCCCGCCACCGGACATTTTGGAGTCAATCGCACGATTGGCCGACTCCGCGAGCGATTTTGGTGGCCCGGCCTTCTCGGCGACGTCACACGCTATTGCGAGTCATGCGAGGTTTGCCGACGCTGCAAATCCCGCAATATCGTCCGTACGGCGAGTTATGACCACTACTTGTCCCGTTGAGGCAAAGGGAAGCGATTGCCATGGACATTACCGGCCCGTTCCCCAAGCACAAGACCAGAGTGGATGGGATTCTCACGGTGGTCGACCGACTCACCAAGTTCGCCATGTTCTTGCCTTGTCGCTATCATGCCAAGGCACCGGAGTTGGCTGAGGTTCTGTACGCCGGTTGGATTCGCACCAAGGGTTACCCCAAGGAAATCGTCTGCGACCGCGAGACTCGGTTTATGTCCAATTTTTGGTTGGCACTCATCAAGCGATGGGGCTCATCTCTCAAGCCCAGTTCAGCTTGCCACCCTCAGACCGATGGCCAGACGGAGAGGGCGCATCAGACCGCACAGGTTCTCCTTCGCACTCTCATCCGCCCCGACCAGAAGGACTAGGTTGAGCGGCTGCCGGATGTCGAGTTGGCCTACAACTCATCTATCCACCCGGCTATCGGGATGTCGCCCTTTGAGTTTGAGCACGGCTCACCGGTCACTTCACCGTTGGACAGTATTATTCCATGAACGGTCGAGAGCGACGACCATCTTCTTTTCTTGCGTCGGATGCAAGAGCTTCTTGTCAAGGCACGTGATCAGATGGCTAAGACGTAGCAGCGCATGAGCCAACAGGCCAATCGCCAGCGTCTTCCTTGCCCATTCCGCGCAGGCGACCTTGTTTGGGTTTCTGCAGCGGAATTCAGCCTTGAACAAGATATCTCTTGCAAGCTTCTCCCGAAATGGATGGGGCCTTGGCCGATCGTAGCGCCCGCTGGGGACGCACCTGAGGGACCTTCCTTCACGATTCAGCTGCCTGGCCACTTGCCGTTCTACTTAGTCTTTCATTGCTCCAAGTTGGCTCTTTACATGCCAGCGGAACATGACGATTTTCCCGGGAGACGTACGCAAGACCCACCTTCTATGGACGGTTTTCAGGAGGTCGGCGACATCATCTCCCAGCGACGCTACGGTAACAAGCCAACTGAGTATTTGGTGCACTTTGCATACTACACACACCGAGCTGACCGTTGGTTAACCCGTGCGGAACTTAGCTCCAGACGTTCTCGCACGCTATGAACGCAAGATGCAAGGCAAGCCGGTTTCTTCGGTTCCACGCCGTGCCCGCGTCCAGGTTCCAACTTCAGATCGTCCGCTTCGCCCTCGCCCCGGCTTGACTTCATAAGGAGGGGGGGGGTGTTACATGCTGCGCCTGCACACGCAAGCCATTTTCCAGGCCTTGCGCCCTTCAGCCAAAAAACCTAGAATTCAGCCTGAAAACAGGGGCCTACAATCCCTGTGTCGTTTCAAACTAAAAATGGCAAGAGCCTTTTTAGCCTGAAACGAAGGGCTATTTTTGGTCGTTCACCAGAACGACCGGCCCTGAAACTCAGGCACCAAACCAGGGTTTCGGGAACAGGTTATTCTTAGCCTGTATCCACGCCAGCCTCAGCAGATGCTGCAGCGCTAGCCCCTGGCACACTTCGGCATTGGCAAGAGCAGCCTCCTCGGCCTGGCTGGCCCTTCAGGCAGTCAGGAGGCAGGCCGTG